AGAAGATGGACAAGAGCGGTACATGAGAGATTTTTTCTTCAGCGATCGTCAAAGTATTGTCATTGCGGGCGGCCGTCAAGCACCCCTTCAAAGGAGTACCCCACCTGGTTGTGTATGCCGGGAGGAGCGCGCATGCGACGTGAGCGCTTGGGCCGAGAGCGCGACGGTGTTTATACAGCATCGATAAGTCGCCGAATAGTCGTATCTGTCTATCTGTATAAGCACACAGCTGATGAGACATGTCGCCACACACACGGTCTATGAGCGAAATATCTCATCCTTGGCTAACAGATAGGGGAGTAATGCCTGGGTGTGCGAGGAACGTGCACCGCGCATCTCCGACACCGGACCCTAAGGAAGTCACACTGAGTGTGACCCGCCGCTGGCATCATCAAACTCTAAGTCCATGCTTACTTTTCTTCAGAGTAAGGTTTGGCGAGGGAGGCGGTCACTGTCGGGCAGAAGATACTTTTTCAGGTTGCGGACGCTCACACTAATTACCCCCAGTCAAAAAGGAAAATTGGTGTCGGGCGGCTGCAACTCTGGTTCAGAAAAAGTGAACCTGATTTGTAGCCGCCCGATTAGTAGTCCTTCTAGCTAGTCATCAACACCACATAGGGAAGGTGGGCGGATTTGGGATCATCGAATCGAATAAATAAATAAATAAATAACTTATAAAATGAATCGAATCGATTCATCATTCGATTGAATCGAATGATGAATCGAATCGAATCATCCATCCCAATCCTCACTGGATCAATTTCGTTTCCCTAACCTTACCAGATAAGAGCCAGCCAACCAGTCGAGAACCCATTTATTTGTGACCGCAGAATGTTCCACGTGCTTCTTCGCACTCGAACTCCGTCTCCGAATCACACTGCAAATTTTGAGTACGATTCCGAGCTCTTTGCAGAATTAAATCTTTCGCCATTGCCAGAACCAGCGACACATGAAACATTGCTTGGCCGGAAGCCCCCCCAACAACCAAACACAGCATAATTCAATTCGCTCTTTTTGATCACTCCGTTGGTCAACAACAACCATCAACAACAACGCTCCGCCCTTGTACAAGTCTCTGTGACTACCAGTAGTAGAAGAAGTGTCAACAATCACCACACCCTCTTTTCGTTTCTCTGAAGTATGCAATAAACACCTTATCCGATTGAAAGGTACGCATCTCCTGGCGACGGCCATGGTCGCCGCTTGTCGACTGTGCTCTTTTTGCCGCGTGGATGTGCTTTAGTATGATCTAGTAGGAAATGTACTGTAGTAGGATCTAGTAGGGGATGTACTGTGTCGCTCGGATGTCGCACCTCTAAGTACGGTTGATCGCAGACCATCGAGGCGCTGCTTTGTGGTCCTTTGATTGGCTGTCTGGGTCATGAACCGAAGTCCGCTCTTTTTTCAAGAACCAAAATGGCGGAGGTGCTATTTGTTGCCGTCGCTTACCAAGACTTCACGGCTACCACTACGACCACAACTGACAAGAGAGGCCCTCTCTCACCGCAGTGTTTGTCCATTGCTTTACTACAGAGTACGATTTAGCTGTTGGGTTCATCCCTCTGCAGCGGTTGGCTCTACCACCGAGGCTTTTGAAGCTCTCACGTTTGTTATCACACGAAGCGACCTTTCACGAAACATCCCTGGTTCGTGGTTGTCTCGCTTCGCCTCACTTTCACCACAACACCCCCCACGATTACACCCACTCTCCCGTCTCTGTCAATGAAGACAACCTCTCAAGACGATACTCCGGCTGCGCCGCTCTCTCCCGTTCGAGTAGACGTGCGGCTATGTGGAAGCATACCCCGAAGTGACATGGTCACTAAGCTCGGTTTGCGGGGTGCGCCGTGTCCTCTGTCCATCTTGACATCAGCGGATTTAAATGCTTCTCAGCTAGCGGAAACCAACGCTTGCGACAGCTCAACGCTCTTGAAGTCTTCCATCAGTGAAGGACCGGTTGGTCGCTTCGTGGCGGCACAACAGCGTCCAATGGCGAGAATACAGAGCGACCTTGGTCCGCCTGCGCCTGTTTATGAACCGCCATCCTGGGCTGTTCCTGCACGGGGGGAAGCTCGTCTGGAAGTGAGTCCCCTAGCTAGTGCTTTGATGGGCTTCCTGTTAACTCTCCGAATGTTTTATCTGACCTCTTTTGTTCCTTGTGTGTTGTTAACAGCCTGTCTGCGAAGCCTTGGGTCGTCAAACATCTGTTGACCTGACGTCCAAGTCCTCCTTTCGTGTTGGACGTTCTCCGCAATCTGACGTCCAACTGAATCATGGCACTTCTTCCCGACGCCATGCTTTGCTATTCCACCATTCTAATGGTTCCTGCTACATTGTCGATTGTGGCAGTGCTCATGGGACTTACGTGAACGGTGTTCGTATCACCTCTCCGCCAAATGGAGGAGTTGTCATTCCCTACAAGGTGAGACGAGGTGCCATGATTCGATTCGGAGGCCCCGGTGCCCCCTGCTTTGTCTTGAAGTCATTCTCCTTTCAACTGGAAGAACTAGCGGAACCTACCACCCAGAACGCATCGATTGAAGGATCCGAAAGCGACGCTGTTGTTGTACAGAAGAACACTCGGCTCAATGCCCTGGGACAAACGGCCATTGACTCTGTACGGTTCTCCATCATCAGTATGGCTTGCAAACGGTCCTTCGATACCCTGGATGGAGAAGACTTTGAAGAACCCTGCTCCAAGCGCGCACGATGTTCCTCTCCGCCGCTTTCTCCCGAAGAGCCGATGCGCCTCGTCTCGCCAGACATGCCGTCCTCCTCGAAACACAGAAGAGTCTCATTCTCTACTGATCCACCCATTGCCTTCTACCCTGCCCTCGTAACACCAGAAGAACTCTCGAGCGATGAAGACAATGGTTGCTATTAAAGTGCTTTCCGATTCCGTGCTTCCTCTTTGCCTCCCGCACCCTACATAGCATTGCGCTCTCTATTTTACATTGACATCCTGACGCTCACTTATTCACATACATGCTACATATTTATTCCGAAATTCCCCTTACCTAAAACCTACAAAAAACCAACCCAACAACCACACAATCGACCTCCCGCAGTTTCAGGTCTTAAGAAGAAATAGAGAAATTGCTTTGCCTTTGGCTACTGTTAGTCATTCAACACTGCTAGCTAGCTACTAGTAGAGTTCATTGTACCGATACGGCAGCGTGCTAGCCATTATCTATTGCTGTAGGGATCGTGAACGGATACTCACCCGCAGTGCAACGGTGGTGAGACATGTTCTTTGCCTGACGTGGCACCAGAAAGTGTCATCGCAAAACAGAAGCGTTGGTTGCTCCAACAGCTGCCACAGTCCCAACTACGATGCATATCTTCCGTCGTGCTGACTGCCCTGCCCACCTTCCGCAAATCTCGCGGCTACTGGTTGCAGTTGCATGGGCTGGACTGAGGAGGGTCCCTCGACCTGTAGCGAGCTATCACTACACACACAGCCTTGTTTGCTGGTGATGGATACGGATGTTGCTTCTTTGGCACAACTGTCTGCCTTTGCTGGTGGCTGCTTCCATGCTGGGCTGGTTTTTTCTTCTGTACCGGTACCCTTCAGAGCTTAAGATGGCGGGTATTAGGAAAGCAACCTACTGGTTTTTGCCAAGGAGCTAACCGGCAACTTTACCACCCAGCGTAATAGACTTTCAGATCGCAAAGCACCAGGCATGTAGCTAGTTCACTGCCGGTGCAAATGTGTTCACTTGCTTTGCTAGAGCTTTGGTCCTGAGCCTTCCCAGCGCGGAAGAGATAGCTGAACATGGGTAACCTTCGGAAGAAATCTTGAGTACTTTTGAAAAGAATGATTTCCTTTTCAAAGCTTGGACCATCTACAAGCTAGCTGGTATGAATGAAGAAACCAGTCTCCTACCCAGCAACTTCTGTGGCAGGGCCAGCAGAGAATATAAAAATGATACCGGTAGGAAAACATGCAGGTGGTTTGTATTCATCATACGGTACCAAGGAAGTCATTCCAATGACATGACAGTGCGTGCGTTCTAGCATGTTTATGAAGTAACCAACTGTAATCCATAGTTAGAAGTCTGTACAGCGTCCTTTTCGCTCCCAATCACCAAATCTGGTAGGTTCAGGAAGCCGTCCACCACGGCGGGGACCACCCCACTCCCTTCCTCGATGTTCAAATGATTCGTGTGGATCCACAAACATCTCCTCCTGCTCCATTTCATCATCATCATCCTCTTCTGACACATCGCCACATGATTCCACCACCACCTTCTCTGGTGTTTTCTCTTCTACCGGCACTAGGGATACAAAGAAAGGAAGAAGTATGAAAAGATACTCTCGTTAGCTACTCAGACGCTCTGAAAAGACAAGACAAAACAAAACATTACAAAAAAGCAACTCCACACTCTTTCCCACCTGAAGATTTTTCGGCCCTTGTTTCGACAACATCCACAAATGGGGGCACTTCTTTTGCGAGGACTGCGAAGAGACGAGGAGATGGCAATCTTGGAACTCTTTGCAGCTGCATCCTCAAGACACCACTTATGATGATTTGAGTGGCCGCAACTCGACCGCGCAACAATTGATTCATGATATACCAACTGAAAAGCAGTTGATGTGCTTTCCAGTGGGATGATTTCTCCTTTAGCCTCAACGAGTACTCTGGCTGCCAGAAGACTTTTTGTTGTGGTTGTTGTTGAGTGTTGTCGCACAACAACCATGCACAAGTAAATCGAGCTCCAATGCCTTTTGGGATTGGGGATCTGAGAACATGAGAACATGAGAACCCTTCGAACGACAAAAGGATTAATGATCTGGGATAGTTAAATCTTTGCGCGAATAAACGCCCTCCAACCACCAACAATTTACCTGGTCGGATCCAACCATCCAACCATGATGCACCAAGCCACAATAAAGGACACCGGAGGTGTAATAGATATACCGGGCGAGCTGAATTAAAAGATGGGCCGGCATAATAATATTGTTAAAGTTTGGCTGAAGGTAGTGTCATTAGATTTTTCCGTCTGAGAAAGTGGCGTGGTAGCTTACGGGAGTTTAGAGGTGTGCAACATGAGACGTTAGATTTTTCCATCTGAGAAAATGGCGTGGTAGCTTACGGGAGTTTAGAGGTGTGCAACGTGAGACGTAAGATTTTTCCATCTGAGAAAGTGGCGTGGTAGCTTACGGGAGTTTAGAGGTGGGCATCATGAGGAAAATATTAGGATCCGTTGCTACCGTATGATTATTATGAGAACGGGTGAGAACGAGGGGGTTGAAGTAAATCTCTAACCCTAAGGATAACCAACCAACCAAACCCACCACCACCACAATAAACGGGGTCAGAGATCACCGGGGTCTGCCCGGTATATTGACCCATCATCTCGATCCCCCTTCTCTCTGTCTCTGTCTCTCTCATCACACACCAATATCGATCCCAAAACAAACCAACCGCCATGTTCAAGAAGTTTGACCCGTCCTCTGATGTTTCGACATCTACGCAAGTCAAAGCATCAGTTCAAAGAGCTTTGAAATCGCAAATAATTGAATCGCATCCTGAAATCACGGAAGACATCCTTGACGAATTGATTCCAAAGAAGTCACCCCTGGTACAGTTCAAGGTTGGCCCTCATTTGATGCTTTACTGTCGTAAAGTGGAAAAAGAAGGTAGCAGTCCCTCTGATGAACCCATTTTCTTCCAACAACGAGATGGTCCCATATTGCCCGCTCTCAAATTGGTGCACCACTATCCAACCCTCTCCTTCAAGAGAGTGACGGTCGACAAAGGAGCGATCCCATATCTGTTGGGAGGTGCCAACGTCATGTGCCCAGGCCTGACGAACCCAGGTGGAGAAATGCCCCCAGATGGTAAAGAGCAAGATGCTCAAGGGTTTGATGTTCCTGGCGTCGCAAAAGGTCAAGGCGTAGTAATTTATGCCGAGGGCAAAGTACACGCCCTTGCCTGTGGTGTAATGACAATGTCCAGTGCCGACATGTAAGTCACTATGAATCGTTCTCGCAGATGCTCAACTTGATGGACTGACTTTGATGTTATTGGTTACTAATTTTTCATTACTCCACGTTGCCGGAAAGTCGAGAGAAGAACAAGGGCATTGGCATCGAGATAAGTCACCATCTAGGGGACGGCCTATTTCAAACCAATGAAATCTAGAAGTGCTCGGGCCAAGGGCTGATACTCTCTGACGATCAAACAAAGCGGATCTATCACCAGCTAGCCATCAAATAAGATAGCATGCCATTCTAAAACGAATTGACTTTCGATTTCAGAACTGTCCGGCCCGTTGGTTCACTATCGTTCCAAGTTCGTTGCGGTACAACCCCAGCTTCCAACAACCTTCGACCAGTTCCATCTTGGATCCCTGCTCATACGAATAACACAATAGTTAGGGGTAGGAGTCGAGTTGTTCATCACAATCGTCTTCCTGAGCACACAGGTTCACGCAGAGACATCTGCCTGGGAGACTCGACGCTCGAGATGGAGCAGGTTGCTTCCATTGGGCAGGTCGGCACGCCACATCTGCCAGTCACACAACCGTGAATCCAGACTTGATATTTCGAAAGGCGAGTCACTCCATGATTGCATCCATATCCCATACTGTTGCACTACTGATTTGTACTTGGACTGTGGTCATACAATTATGAAAGTTCAACGAGTCACAGAAGTATTGAGAAAGGGCACGAATCCAGCTTCAATCCAATAAGAGTGCCTGCCAGTGTCAGTTGCACGCTTGATCGAATACACTAGAAACATTTGTGTGCTTAGGTATGGGCCATTGCTTACTTTTAAAGTCACGGGAAAGAATTTTCGGCCAGCGGGATTAGTTATCGATTGAATACGGAGTCTATTACAGCAGGCCCGAGGTTGGAGAAAGACAAAACGCCAGGTTTGATTATAAGAGGCTCATAATTTGGATTCTGCATCCTCTCGAAACAGCAAACGCTTCAAGCCAAACAAAGAAATCTCTTCCATTATATACATCTCGATCAGCAACTTTTGACTCTCACCATGACGATCACGAAGCTTGGTTCCGTTCTTCTTTCCTTGTCGGGTTTGCCCATAAACAATGCAGCCATCATTGGAAACACTGAAACACGTCGCAATACCCCACGTCTTAGGGCAGCAGATGGGTTTGCAAACATGCAGGCCACCTATCGAGTCTTTCAGCCACTCCAAGACACTATATTGGAGGTTGACGATGAGCAAGATGCAATGACAGAGCTGATGGATGCATTCAACGTCGACGGAATCATGAGTATGGACACGACCATTGATCCTACGATTGTCATCACCGCTGTACCCTCGGACAATCCCTCGTTGGGACCATCCTCTGCCCCATCTTTGTTGCCATCGAAGGCTCCGTCCATCCAACCTTCATCGGCCCCAACAACTTTCACACCAGCCCCCACGGAATCAACAATGCCCTCGATCTCGCCATCAGTCAGTCAGGCACCCTCCCCTTCAGAGCCAACAACTTCTGCGCCTTCAGCTGCACCAACTGTATTCCCAAGTGCAACCCCGTCCGCAGTTCCCACTGCAAGGCCTACTTTTTCCCCAAGCAACTTCCCAAGCTCTCCACCTTCTGGGGGTATCAAAGGGATTACCACAATTGTTCCAACAGATCGACCCTCCACAACTCCATCTGCACTCCCAACAAGTGGTCCATCGGCAAGCCCTTCTTCTGCTCCCACTTTTTCGCCATCCTCTGAACCTAGCAAATCTCCCACCGGCACGCCCTCTGCCTCCCCAAGCGCGTTTCCCACTCCCACACCCACTGTCGTCGGCTGCCCAGGAGTGTCTGCCGAAGCTCGTAGAAACCAAATCTTGGCAATCTTGCAAGGCGCTACGGCCGTTCAAGACCCCACAGTGCTCACCGACACATCCACCTCCGAAGGACAAGCCACCGAATGGTTGCTGAACGGAGACGCCCTAAAAATCTGCCCAGACGACCCCAAGATTGTCCAACGATGGGTGCTTGCCGTCATGTATTTCAGCACCAACGGGAATGACTGGGACCAATGCTCTGACAACTTGCTCGCAGATGATGACTGCGGCAACGAAGAGCCCTTCCTTGGGAAGCAAAGATTCCTCAGTGGCTTTAACGAGTGCGAATGGGCCGGCGTTTTCTGCAACGAAGAGTTGTGTGTGACGGAAATTGAGTTTGGTAAGTAATTCTTTTGTGTGTGCCCTCGGATCCTTTGTGCGAGGCCCTCGTGCACCTTTCTCACAGGATTTGCGCTGTGGGTCTCAGAGCTCAACAACTTGGTGGGTACTATCCCTACAGAGATGGGGCTATTGACCCATTTGGAAGTTTGGGGTAAGTACATCATGGTCGTTGCTTCTATCTTGTTCAAGTTTCTACTTTTAGTCCTCACCTTGATTCTTTCGCATCTTGCAAGGAATGGAACGCGGCACGTTGACAGGAACAATTCCGACAGAGATCGAATTCATGACCAACCTGCACTTTCTGGATCTAGATTTCAACCGACTGACTGGAAGTCTGACGACTCAGTTGCTCTCGTTGTCAGCTCTCGAGCAGCTCGATTTGAACGGAAATTTGCTGACTGGTTCTATCAATGGCATTGGCGTCTTCCCCAACATGATGTTCCTCCAACTTCACGACAATGCATTCACCGGAACTGTGCCTGAAGCTGTTGGCAATTTTGCATCTCTTACAGCTTTCACTCTTCATCAGACGGATATCTCAGGAGTCATGCCCGAATCTGTTTGTGACTTGCTTTTCACGGAAGGCAACGGGGGAAGGCTGGGTTCCTTGATTGCTGACTGCCAAGAACCAAACCCAAACGTTGAATGCGACTGCTGTACCGATTGCCGCCTTGGATAAACAGCTCCTGTGCCCCTATTTCATGTTGGCTGCACACTGTACGAAGCCTGCTGATCCATGCCCTGGCCTATATCTACACCAGAGTGATTGGAAAAGTGGGACATGTGGATTGAATCATTCACCTGGTAGTCTCTTGATCATGCAAACAGAATGGATGTTGAACCCACACTGATTTATTGTAGCAGTAATCAAGATAAAGACTGCCCCAATCTAGAATCTGGTCTCTCTACTTGCTACTGGTATCTAGCTAGCTACTAGCTAGCTCTGTACCGATACCCACGCTTTGTACCGGTATCTACCGTATCTACCGGTATGGGACCAGCCAGCTGGACCAAACAAAGCAAACGCCACGGTGGAAGTTCCGATGACGAGAAAGTCAGCCAGCTCCGCATTTGGTTTGGTGGGAGCCAGACCAATGTGACGTGTTCCGACACGTCACCAAATGGAATCGAATGCATTTTGTCTCTTTTGCGTTCTGGCAATTATTGCCTTCCTCCTTTTCTTCGTATCATGGCAGTACCACAAAATTCTTCACATCTGCTTCTCTTCTTGGCCACTCTTTTTGTTCTTGTTGGATTGTTTCTGCCTTCCAATTAACCTGCTCTTACTCTCGACAATTAAAAACATATCCACTCGACCATGTTCTCTTCCACCAAGCTCTCGCTCCTGTCCGTGGCATTTTCGGTGATTGCCGCTTTGAATGCAGCAGACGCTTTTGCCCCACAAGCAAGAATCGAGAACCGTCCAATGACACAATTACACGCAGAAAATCCCACGACGAGTCGTCGTGCTGCTGTTTTCGGTATTATGGGAGTCGTTGGGAGCACACTGGTTGGAAATCCCGAAGAAGCCTCTGCCCGCTACAGTTCTTACGCCCACCGAGAACAAGGTAAGGCCAACTCGAGTTAACTCGCACTCCTCATGTCTTGGTGCCAGCAGATTGATATGAAGTGTTGGAAGGGCCGCCGATCGTCCTGTCTTCCATTCAGACCACTAGAGCGCGCCTTGAAGCTTGCATATTTGGACTTGCATGTCCCGAAAGACGGAGTCTATGCTCACGTCATTTTACTTTTTTCCCTTCTTCTCAGATTGGCAAGAACGATCGTCAGCCGGACAAGTCAATTTTAAGACAGCAAAAGACCTACGAAAAGAGCTTCAAGAGATTGCACCAATGAATAGCAGCAGGTCAAAGATATTTTGTCCGAATGGTACAAGTGCTGCCGTTTCTCCCTTGGTGAGTTTGGAAGACCAAAATTTTTTTCGAGAAGCAATGTAATTTGTATTTCTCCTCCATCGCCATCGGCTGTCTCACCATCAACTATTTCCTGTTGTGATCAAAGATGGAAAACAAGTGTGGAGATCGAATGGCAATCCCTAGTGTCTACGGAAGAACCCAGGATGTTGTTGGAAATTCTATCCCAGGGTTTGCGACTAGCTACCGAAGCACCGACCTTAGCAATACCGGTGGGTTCTTGAATTACTAATTCAAGCAACAGCAGAGTGAAAGCAACAATCTACTAAAGGGATGACTTGAGGATAGTTTGCAACTGAAGGGCACCGACGTGGCTTGAAGATTTTGCAACATACTACCGTAACCTGGAGTTCGTCCGTTTGTTCTATCATCTTTCAAGAAATGGCAGTGGTTACCGTCTCCTGGGGATAGCACTAACTAATATTTATTGATAATCAAATGATATATTCCCATCAACCACCGACCACCGACAACAAGATTCGAGATGTTTGGTTTGGACAGGTTGCTTTCCATCAAGACAAGTGCGGTTCCTGCTAGATTTCACTGCTGTATTATTTTTCACGCAGGGGAAGGCATATCATATCTATCTGTCGATGTGTGGTGTAGACAGGTTGCTTTCCTTCAAGACAAGTGCGGTTCCAGCTGGCTTTCATGGATTACCATTCACGCAGGGGAAGGCATACTTGACAGCCTTTTGCACTCGCACAAATCTGTAGCTCGTCGTCATCGTTTGACTTAGTCAGTTGAGCAATCATGTGGGCTCGGCAATCCCTGCAGGTATATCACACAATTGTCTTCGCTAGCTAGTTAATGTTGTACTGTAGTAGCTGTTCATATTTATTTACAAACCAAGCTCCTTCTTGAGCTTTTCGAATTCATCATCAACTTTGAGCTGCCGCAGTCTTTCTTTGTCATCCTGATCCTGGTTGGATCTCGACCGTCTGTGTGGCGGAACATTGTATTCGGACGACGACGATGACGAAGATGATGAGTATGTTGACGATCCTGAAGAAGATGACGACTGGACTCTCTCAGAGCTCGGAGCAGACGACGGCGATTCATTTGTTGTTGTCCATCGTGGTGAAGATGCAGATGAGGAGGGTGATTGGTTGGTGTCGTTTGCAGCGGAAGTCGACCGTGCCGCACGCCGCCTCCCACTGCCCCGCCCTCGTCCGTTCGATCCGAATCCCTGAGATTTCCATGAATCCTCACCCTCGTTATTGCCACCCGAAGAAGAGCCTGTCTGCCTGCTACTAGTGCTGGATGTTGTCGACACGGTCTCCGAACGGCCCCGGTCTCTGCTTCTCGACCGCCCTCCTGCCTTGTTGTCATTTGCACCTCCAACGATCAGTTGCTTGTAACGAGTCTGGAGAGCCAACAACCGCTTCCTGGCTCTGCGAAGGTATTTCTCCACGACCCCCTTCCTCGCCTCACATTCCGCAATCTTTTCTTCCAACGCAATCTTCTCGGAGAACCTAGAACTGGCAGCCAAGTCAGCCTGCAATGAAATGACTTCATTATCAAGGTCCTTCATTTTTGTGGATAGCTGTTGCACGACAAGGTCAGATTCGTCCAGTTCCTCACCGATTTCATCGACAGTGCCTGTCTGAAGCAGGAAACTGAGATCGGCATCATTGTCAGCATCGCGACCACTTCCAACCGAACTATATCCATCTACATTTCGTTCCAGGAACTCGACAAAATCTTGAATGACCCCTGAACCTCCTCTGGAGCCGACGGTTCCTGCAGCTCCAACCAACAAATCGGCAAAAATAGAGCCGAATGAGTCTCCACCTGCGTCATATTGATCATCGTCGTACTTTGGCATAAAGTCTTCCCAACTGGTTCCACCTCTGTTGCTGCTACTGCTGTCACTGTATGCTGAAGAATATCCCGAATCTCCCGGTTTTCTTCTATGGGGTGGTGTCCATCCACTGGCAGTGCTGCCACGTTGCGATTGTCCAGCAGATGCATAATTTCCGTCACCGCGTTTTCCCAATAGCGTCTCGTAGGCGGCATTTATCTTTGCGAATTGATCCGATGCACGTTTCTTTTCTTGTTCCGTGCTGTCCTTGTTGGTGGCAACATCTGGGTGGTACTTGATGGCGAGGCGACGGTACGCCTTTTTGATTGCTTTCTTGTCGAGGCTGTCGGAATCGTTGGGATTGAGGCCCAAAATCGCCCAGGGATCATTGGCATTTAAATCTGGTGCCGACATCCAAAGCCTTGTAGATGGCGATCTTCGTGGTACATGTACTCGACCGAATCGTTTCTGTGGCTCTTTTCTGGCGGAAAAGGATGGTGTCGTCGTCCCGAGACTGAAAAAAACAACTGTTGGCACAGTGAAGGCCCACACAGCTTTCTCGTCTTGAAGCCTCCATAGTGTCAATACAAAAAGTAGGGACCACCGAAACGATGACGCCGCTGCCATCATACTTCTTATCTTATCCTATCGAACAATGACAGTCAATATTATGCAGTACCACCAGTATGGTAGATAGCATAAGGTACTGTAGCTTTCTTGGATTAATGACAACAATATTATCATTATGTCAGGTCGGAACAGGATACTACTAGAGTAGTACTGTACGGTAGACTACCGGTAGTCTAGTAGCCAGTTTTGTCGAGTTGGAAGTTGGAAGGTTGGGTGGGATTCGATTATCTTTTCTTGGGGGGACTGACTCAGAATCAAATCGACTCAAATCGAACTATCTACATGTACATTGAGCCACTGTGCTTCCTTTCGATGAGTACGATACCTGGTACTGGTACTGTAGAAATCGACGCCGACCAAAGAAAGATCGCCTCTGCTGCCATCGAACGCAAATGACAATGGTCCTTTTTCCAAAATCAAGGATCACCAATCTTGTGCTTTTCTTCTTCTTGCCACTGTTCCTTCAACTACCGTTAGTATTATCCTTCGCAGCAGACTCAATTGATCAAATGGCGATTGAAGAGTGAGTTTGATTACTTCGTTTCATGGTTAGATAAAGGAGGATTTTTGGGTTTGCGATGGACACTTCGTTCTCTCATCCTTGCTCTTGTCGTTGCTTATTGGCTTTCGTCCTCGCTGTCGTCCATATCAGCGTGATTGTGGCTATTGCCATGGAGGCAGAGGCCAAGCCTTTCATCGATCATCTTGGCTTGAAGAAAGATGAGAGTTTCTTCCCGCCCCACACTCCCTTTGTGGCATTTACTGGCACTCATAACCAGTGCAAAGTCACCGTGGTTTTCAATGGAAAAGACACCGTATACAACACTGGCGTAGACAATGTCGGAACTGTTCGTAAGTGCCCGCTAAGATTGATCATTTTGCAGTACGGTAGTCTCGAGGTCATGGTTCTGATGCTTGTCATTTATTTACGCTACTATTCTGCATTCTAATTGGGCCAACTGTTACTGGTCAGCTGCAAGCATTGCTACATTTCTGGCGCTGAACAAAATGACCAGTGAAGCTCCCGACAAGGAACATTTACTCATCAACGCTGGCACTTGCGGTGGCTTCAAACGCAAGGGAGCCGAAATTGGAGACGTCTTCTTGACGACGGCAGTCGCCAATCATGATCGTAGAATCCCAATTCCAGATTTTGTGCCCTTGGGCATTGGAAAATTAGAAACTGTCAATGCCACCAAAATGGCAGAAGCTTTCAGCTACAAGACGGGAGTATGCACAACAGGCAATTCACTCGACAAAACAGAAAAGGACGATGAACTCATGCTGGCCAATGATGCATCCGTAAAGGACATGGAAGCCGCCGCTATTGCTTGGAGTTGCAAACTTCACAACGTTCCCTTTTTGGGTGTCAAAGTCGTCACGGACATTGTCGATGGTGGTGTTCCAACACAAGACGAATTCTTGGAAAACCTGCAATCCGCTTCCAAAAGTCTTCAAGGGGCCCTACCCAAAGTCTTGGATTATGTTTGTGGAAAAACTCATTCAGAGTTGTAGGACCGGTTGTTACACGCCCGAGAGAGCTCTAGATTCAAGCGAAACACATTACATTACGCGAACCAATATTATGCTGGTAATCCCCCTATTTCTTTGGAGTGCTAGCTGCCTAGAAAAATGTGATTGTTTGAGGACGTTACCGGTAGCTAGTGTAACTCTCTCGAGCTCTCTCTCCCAACATCTATACCGTACAAAAAAGATGTACCTTTGCGAGCAGGAGTGTAGATTCTCTGCAATACAGCTTACGCTGCCCGCACTCCGCTAATTTGGCCCCGGGCAGCTGTAGTACTATCCAGCAAGGCCGCAGCATAGCCTATATATCCAGCCTGTACACACGCGAGTTGATGGATACTTCGGTACAGTATATCCAGCTAGAAATCTAGGCTGACGACTACGTCTATCATGATTGAGGTCCTGAGTACGAGTATGGATTCTGCTCATTGCGGGGGGGAAGATGATAATGAAGATCTCGCTGCGAGTGGCAAAGAAGACGTACGTAGCTACGGTACCGGTATGCCATACCGGTACCGGTACAGTGTTAGCGAAACACCTCAGTTCTTGGCTATGCTAAAGGCGTCGTCCGTATGCTAGCTAGCTAAAGCATTGTCTCTGACGAAGACAACCCCAACGTGGACAAGTGTGTTGCTGCTCTATTTGTGAGCTGCGTGCAGTAGCACTTTTGTGGAGTACGTTGTCTATATTTTTCGCAGGTTTCAGTTTCTCGAGACTCAATGCACTCCCTAGATGTGGTAATTGTATATTATATCAATGTATTTAAGCAACATACATGATCGCGGGCTCAAAAGTGCAACTACGATAGCCAATCATTTCGTTTGAGGCTCAAAAACCAGCTGGTCCTTCGAAAACATGGCGCAACAACGCACCTCGAACCCTCTCTATGACGTACGCCCCAAAGCTTTGAGTTTGATTACTTTTTCTTTTCTTTTGGGTCCATCCTTTTCCGGTTGACAGTCTTCTCACAATCCAAGAAGATCGCATCTTTTATCAACATATCAACAAACATGAAGTTCAGTACCTTTGCTTTCGTTGCCCTTGTTGGCTCCGCCTCTGCCTTCTCTGGCTCCTCGTGAGTAAAAGCCGCCCTCGCAGTTGTTTTTGATGCCTACTTCGGCCGAGGAAACTGGCTGACCCTTTGTTCTGAACTCACATGGAATTTCTTCTTTTGTTTAGATTCTCTGGAACCTCCTTGAAGGCTTCTGCATCCAACAGTGACTCCATGACCATGGCTGCCACTGGCATGGGTATCAATGGATTCGGACGTATTGGACGTCTTGTCACCCGTATCATGATGGAAGATGAAGCCTGCGAGCTCAATGCCATCAATGCTGGATCTGCCACCACTGATTACATGGCCTACCAATACAAGTATGACACAATCCACGGAAAGGCCAAGCAAACTGTTGAGATTGATGGAGACTTCTTGATCTTGGGAGGAAAGAAGATCCAGACTTCCCGATGCCGCGACCCCAAGGAAGTTGGCTGGGGTGCCCTCAATGCTGACTACGTCTGTGAATCTACTGGAGTTTTCCTCACCAAGGATACCGCCCAGTCCATCATTGATGGAGGTGCCAAGAAGGTCATCTACTCTGCCCCTGCCAAGGATGATTCTTTGACTGTTGTCATGGGAGTTAACCAAGAAATGTATGATGGAAGTGAGAACTTCATCTCTTGTGCTTCTTGCACAACCAACGGTCTTGCACCCATGGTTAAGGCTATCCACGATGAGTTCGAAATTGAGGAAGCCCTCATGACTACTGTGCACGCCATGACTGCCACCCAGGCTGTTGTTGACTCTTCTTCTCGCAAGACTGGCGTGGAGGACGTGCCGCCTCTGGCAACATCATCCCCTCCTCCACTGGAGCTGCCAAGGCTGTCACCAAGGTCATTCCTTCCCTTGTTGGCAAGCTCACCGGTATGGCTTTCCGTGTCCCCACCATTGATGTGTCTGTTGTTGACTTGACCTGCAAGATCGCCAAGTCCACCACCTACGAAGAAATCTGTGCTGTTGTCAAGAGCAAGTCTGAGGGAGACATGAAGGGATTCCTTGGATACAGTGATGAGCCCCTTGTTTCCACTGACTTCGAAGGAGACCTTCGCTCCTCCATCTTTGATGCTGATGCCGGTATCATGCTGAACCCCAACTTTGTCAAGCTTGTTGCCTGGTACGACAACGAATATGGATACTCTGGCCGTGTTGTTGACTTGATGAAGCATGTTGCTGCCGTTGACGCCAAGGTTGCTGCATAAATCTGTCATGCATTGCTACATCACACCGCATGTACCTAGCCTAGCATCAAATCAATCATACTAGCTGTTTATACCAATTTACCAACATGTGATAGTATAGCACTAGGCCAGACACTCTCACAGGTGGGATCGTTGGATTGTGCTATCATCATTTCAGCAGTTGTAACGCCTGTCATCACGAGAGCAGAAAACATGCCAGAGTCCACAGCAAACTTTATGTCCGTATCAAGGCGATCTCCAACGAACAGCGACCTACTTGTTTCGAAGTTGTGGTCCTGAAGGATCACATCAAGTAGTGCTGGACTTGGCTTTCCTACGTTGATGGCCATACGCCCAGAGCAGCACTCCAATGCCGCAACGGTAGCCCCATTTCCCGGAATATGTCGGCCGTCTGCTCCGACAAGGTCGAATGCATCTTTGTTGGTAGCAACAAATAGGCACTCCGGGTTTCTCAGGAGTAGATTGTTGGCAATTGATAGTTTTCTGAACGAAAATTCAACGTCATGTCCAACGACCACGGCATCAACGGGGTCTTCGGGAAATCCATAGCTCGCAAGCTCGTCCCTTGTCATTCCAGCTTTGTCTTCCGTTGGTCCTCCAGAGATGTCGAAACCATACCCTTCCAACTCTTGACACAATCCATGAGTGCCAATTACGTGCACTCTTTTCCGCGGGCGTTTCTGGAGAGCAGCACCCATGTATTTTGCAGCAGCATACGAGCTTGATATGAGTTGGTCTTCAGTCAGTCCATCAACCCCAAGTATCTTTGATAGCTTTTCTTGCAACTGTTTTCGGCTGACCCCTGCATTGTTGGTCACAAAAAGGACTTTCTTATCCAGCGCCATCAATCGATTGACACAGTCAGTCGCACCAGGGATAGGGTCGGGTGTCCTGTACAGACACCCGTCAGCGTCAAACAAAATAGTGTCAACATGTTTTTGAACAAACGATGATGCTTCTTCATTGGATTGCCAGAGCAGCGGTGCGTTTGGTCGGCCTTCAAAGTGCTTAGTGACCTTGGACATTGCTGCCTCTGCCTCTCGTCGAATCTTTTCGGTGATCTGCTCGCCTGAAACACTGGTGGCTGATCTCGTCCCAAGGTTGAGGGATGCCATCAATGCTACATGTACCGGTACACGCCGTTGGGCTACGATACCACCATATCGGAAACCTGATACTCTCGCAAGAATCATCCCTACCAACAGCGGAAACCGTGAGCCCATCCTGGGAGATATCAACGCGGCTTTTGTGACGATTTGTTCCTGTTGTGTTCTTCCAGGTAACCTTTCCATGGGCAGGCACTTGCTTTCGTGCGAAAGCCCATTCGTGCTTCTTTCTGAATGACGTACAAACATGATCACCCATTTCTTCTGTACCGGTACATGCTGTACCGCCTGGTACCGGTACCGAGGGGCAAAGGGCATTACGGACGCCCTCGATAGCTTTGTCATCAAAATCTAACTACAGCGTAGCTAGCTGCATGTAGTTGTACCCTCTTGATGGGGGTCTTTGAAAGAACGAAACAAGACAGTTCGAACGAGCAGTAGAGTCCATTGTTGGTCTATTCTTTGAGCACAATTACCAGTTGAATGAGTTCTGCGATTCGACGCCCATGTTTCCACCGCCTTTTTTGGCCTGAAAATTCATACCGTTGGGGAAGTTGCCGTCGTTTCCGCCCATCCCCATCATACCAGGACCCATGCCCATCTGCTGTTGCATACTAGCAAACTGTGCCATGTTCTGCGGCATCCCCATTCCGTTCATGGGCATCATTCCAGCATTTTGAAGCATTTGCTGGTTGTTGGCAAAAGCAGCCATCATTTGTCCGTTCGGCATCCCCCCGCCCATCATGGCTTGATTCGCCATTCCGCCATTGGCCATCATTGCGGCCCCATGTGGCATATTGGGATTGTTGCCTAACGACGCTTGCGCCATGAGTGCTGCTTGTGGATTCGCAGATTGTCCATTCATTGGATTGCCCGACATTTGTCGCATCAGAGCGGCCTGTGCTTGAGGGTTCATAGGGTTCGCTCCAGCAGCCATCATGGCAGCTTGCGCCTGAGCCATGTTGAACTGATTCGAGCTCATCAAAGCAGCCTGCATCTGCATCTGTGCTGCAGCTTGGTTTTGAGCATGGGAGTTGGACTGCATCATGGCCGCTTGCTGTGCTTGAAATTGAGCGGGTCCTCCAAGGCCTTGATGTCCCACCCCAGAATTTCGTCTCATCATGGCTGCTTGCATGTTTTGTTGTTGTTGCATGTTCATTTCGGCGGCGCCAGACATGGACCCAGACTGTCGTCGCATCATAGCAAGTTGAGCAGCATTGAAACCTGAACCCGAAGGGTTAGACGATGACGCTTGTCTCATTAGAGATGTCTGGGCCTCGAAGGATGCCTCCGCCATTCCTGAGGCATTGGATCCTCGATGGTTCATGCCATCACCCCGACCGTTGGGGAATTGGGAACCTTGCATGTCATCCATTTGATTCTCGGTGGTGCTTTGCCGTTGTCTTGCATTCTGCATCTTTTTCATCTGTCCTGACATGCTGTGCCCGCGATCCCCTTGTTGGTTGAGGCTGGACACACCGTTCACAGAGGACGAATTCGTTTCGTTCCCCTGGGCATTTGAAGAAGAATTACTACTCGGGTTAAGGTTGCCACCCTGTGAAGAATTGCTGCCGCGCCGTATGGAATGAACCAATTGCTGTTGCTGCCGAATGTTCTCCATGATCTGCTTCTGCAAGTCTTCGTTTACTTGCTTTTGTCTTGCTAGCTCCGACATGGCCATATCTGGCGGAATCACTTGGCCATCGCTTCCGAGTTGCGGCGAAGACATCTCTGGAATATTTGGGAGCTGCCCTGGAGCGGATGATGGTGCACTGTCCGAGCTTTGACCTGAGGTTCCCATCATTGGTGGATCAAGAGAGCTAACTTGGGAAGACGCCGACGCCGCGTTCGATAATATAGAATCCCGGCGGTTGCCCAAAGGCTCCGTGTCGGTGGGGGCACCCTTCGTAGATCCTTTTTTATCTTTGGAAGACTTTTTGTAATGTGCAGTGATTGTGACGGCGAGAGTTCGCAATCTATTTTTCAAACTGGCTCGGTCCAGATATGCTTCCAAGGACTGGGCCTTTTTGTAAAGACGATCTTCTAGCACCCGTGCCTTGTGTGGCAATTGCTGCATCCATTCTTTGGTCGGCGCCGATTTCTTCCTAGCTTTGAGAAGTTTCGCTCTGGAAAGGAGTTGCACATGAGAGAGCCATGAGGAAACATTCACCACCCAAAAACTCGAAGCTCTCCCATCGGAGCACTTCTACTTACATTTCTCGGATCATGGCTTCTCGGTGCAGTTTGTCAACATCGTCGTTGTGCCAAAGCGGTGGAGGCCCCCCGCCATCACTGTCACCTACAGCATCGTTATTGGATGATTGTCTGTTATTAAATGGCTCGTCATCGTCATTTTCTTCGTTGCCTTTTGTTTCAACGGCATCCTTATTGTTGTCATTGTCGTCTGGTTTATTGATTTTGTCGCCGCCATCAGAGCCCTCTTCTTCCAACTTCAGTTTGGTGTCCCCTGACTCATTCCCAGCAGCTGCTTCACCATCACCATCTTCGTCCTCGTTTTTTTGCTTTGATTTGTTCTGCGCTGAGGAATTCTGCCCCCTACGACCCCCACCATCTTCTTCTTCGAAGACGCGGCCTAAGTCGCTATTGTCTTCAAAGAAGTTCTCTCCTAAACCAAGGTCGCTCGGATCGTCCATGAAACTATTACTCCTGCCAAAGTCTTCCATTTTCAACACTTAGTGGTGATGTGCAACTCGATCTTCTCCTTTGAAAAAGCACACCAGGTCTGCTCTCTTGGTACCGAAGAGTGTCGAGATGCTGCGCTTGGCGACTACTTCTTCCAGTTCTTACAAGGAAACTTTGTCGGTGCTGTGCAGTTTTATTGTTGTCGTGTTGTTGTCCTTCATTCATTCGTTGGGCCTGCTGCTGCGGAAGGGAAGGGCGCGGCGAGCAGGAAGGGTTCTGTTGCAGTACTGTAGCTACTGGAGTAGTGTAGCCAGCTAGCTATCCAATTCAGGGAAACTTATGTCGAGGTTAAAAGCAGTTGTATTATTGTTTACCGCAACTACCTGAAAGATGATTCGCAACTGGGATTCAAATGTCGCTTTGATGCCAAACCACCAGTGCAACCTGCAGTTTCGCCACACCTTGGACGCTTTGAGTGCAGCTACCGGTGGTACCGGTATCACGAGGTTGCGGGGGAGGCAACTTGCAAGCTGCAACTGAATTGAGGAGCCGACAGTGAATCTGGCCGTTCAATCAGCTGTGCTGTCCAAGGGAGTTGAAGATGAGATGAACGCGCTCGGATGGTGAGGCTCCTGCTATTTGCAGCACGTCCCATGATACATCCTGCTTCACGCCATGGTAGTACCGGTACAGATGTAGCAAAAAGAGACGAGTTTTCGCGCCCACGAAGAAATTCTAGCTAGGGACGCTTTGAGCTGTACTAGTATGTGGGTGGCTGTTGGCTGCCGGTGCTGGTATAGATACCACTACTACATGTAGTTGAAAATGGCCAGCAAGAAAGGTCTAACATATATATAGTATAGCTTGCTGCATTTGCTGTCTTGCTCTAACCGCTCGACATTGTGTTCGTCCCTTGCGACTCTTTACAGTATGATCATCGATTGCTCAAATTGGCGCCAGCCAAGGACCATTTTCTCCATCCGGTGACCAAGATGACACCGAGGAACTGTCATCCTTCGTTTCAGGGGCCAACTCAGCCGGTGACGCTGAAGGCGCCAGCCATACAAGAGAGGGTTCATCTGTTGCCTCGATATCTGTCCCAGGCTTGGGTGCTTCGCCAGATGCTTCTACGACTTCTTCAGCAGTTTCTTCCAGGTCTTGAAGGGGTACAAGCCAAACAGATTCTTCGTTGGAACCCGCTCCTTCAGTCTTGTCGACTGTCTCCTCCTCGTCGTCATCGTCAGGTTCAGTGAAGGATAAGTCAATGTCTCCGATCCATGGGGAATCGCCGTCCTCATCCCCCACTTCCTTCTCTTCTGCTGTTCCTGCTTCTTCCTCTGGTGGCATGCTTGTTGCCTCGTCAGAATTCACAACTTGATTTGCGACTGCCGTAGATGTGCTGTCCGCGACAGCATTGGAAGGACTACTGTCATCATCCTCCCCGTCTTCTTGCTTCTTCGAAGGGCGCACCGATTGGCCCAACCTGGCTGCATTGTTTATTGCCGTTGTTGTTGCTGCTGCAGTCACCGCCGCCGCAGCTGCTACGCCAAGATTCGCACCGGTTGTCGCTTGACCAACTCCGACTGTGTTGCTTGCTGCCGTTGTAGTTGCTTCTGCAGTCGACGCTGCCGTTGTCGCTACCCCTGTAGGAGCTATTGCTCCAACATTTCCGATGGTTGGAGACTGGCTCTGAAGACTTTCAGCAGCTGAAGATGTAGTGTCGCCTTTGCTGTCAACCGCAGCGTCGTCTTTGCTCTTCGCCGTCGCATTGTCTTGCTCGCTATCCGCCTGAGCGTCGTCTTGCTTGTTACCCGCCTGAGGTTCGTCCACTTGAGCTTTGTCTTTGCTTTCCCACAACGCACTGCTGTTACCCTCGGAATCCGCCGCAAGGCCCTTGCTGTCCAAATCAGTTTCACCGCTTTGAGCGCTCTTCAAGATAGCCTCGTCCTCCTTGCTCTCAACCTCGAGTCGGGAGTCGGACTGAGGAGGTGTCGTCGAGAGCTCTATTTCCTTGACTGGCACATTTTGCTTATCATGCGATGATGGTGATTGATCTGATGCGAACGTGGGGCTTTCCAGTGAAGAAAGGTCAGATCTAAAGTCGGGTACGTCTGGGTAAGGTCCTACCATCGTTTCGGGGACATAGTCGCCACCACCGTTTGTTGGCTTGTCTGGCGTTTCTCCACCTGTTTCCTTTTCAAGTAGATGAGCTTCTAAAGAGCTTTCCTCATTATTCATTTGACGTCTTGCGTAGTAGTAGGCAACTGCAAGAAGGAAGAGCCCAATGGCGGCACAGATTGCGGCGACGGTCGAGACAGAGATACCATTCCGTTGAAAGATGTTGGGAACTGGAGCACAGCCGACCAGCTGGAAGCATGTCTTGCAGACAGGACAGTTCCTTGGACAGTCTTCCATGTCGTCACAAGTGATCATTTGCTGCTCCATCAGCTGTTCCGTAAAACTGCACTCGCAGTTGTCGAGAGACTTGTCTGAATCGCACGAGAAGGACAAGTCCCATACCCACAGGTTGCTGTATGTGCTGCATTCAGCAATGTTGAAAGACTCCATTGGATTCTCCCCATTGTTGTTGCCTTCAGCAACATCTTCATTCGACACCACGTAGCCGTCTTCATCGTTTTCGTTCCGGTCGTTGTTGTTGCCACTGTTCGAATTCCTTCCGTCTTTGCCTGTAGCCCAATTAATCCATTTCTCCCAGGTGGACTCGCTTCCCGAATTTTCATCATTGTCAAAGTCATAGAAGTCATTGTCTTTATTGCCACCTCCTCCTTCACCGTCATTGTTGCCATTGCCATTGTTGCCATTATTGCCATTCTTGCCGTTGTCAGCCTTGTCATCGTCTTTATAGTAGTCATCGTCATTGTACATGTACATGTCATCATCAGCGCCTTGGCCTCCGCCTCCGCCGCCGCCACCACCACCTCCCCCGCCATTTCCGTTGCCGCCGCCGTTGTCATCCCCATTCCCATCGTCGTCGTCGTCGTCGTCGTCGTCGTCGTTTCCACTACAGCGGGAGTGTGAGAAAATTTGTGACAACGAATGATGCAAGGTTTTCACAACAGAAAACGATGCGAGAACTTACCCGTAGCTGACATAGGAACAGTCGGGAGCATTCCCAGAGAACTTCCATTCCGATGAAAGTTCCGTGTCTGTATAGTTGAGGCATCCTAGATACGACGTTCCTCCGTGACCATGGTCTGTCGAATTGGATCGGTAGACGAAAGTCAAGTGAGACATGAAAACAGGGCACGAAGTGTAGCTCTAGTCAAGTCGACCAAACTAGCCAATACTCACGCATGGGGTGAAGTAGACTGCGATGTCTGAGGGATACAGTGCCTCGGCTTCTACCTCGAACATATGTTCTGGTCGTCGGGATCCTACCAGCAAGAGAAAAGTGCAGACTTGAACACAGCAGAATGGCTAGCAACGCCAATCTTGGCAAATGCATACTCTTGCTTGAAGGAATCATTGTCGCCATGGTTTTATTGTTTCTTTCAGGGGTCTTCGTTTTTTACTTCGTGGTTTGGCGCCAATGAAATGGCAATATCTTTGGCCGTGAGCTGCTAGAAGAATGTTGCTCCACCACGCAAAATGTGAGTTGAAATCCATCATCGGAGCGACCGTGTGAGTGCAGCCGGCCGTTAGTTTTTATTGCGGTCTCTTCCGAATTGACGCGCGCCCAGGCTCCCAAAAATCTAACGGTGCTCTGTCGTTTGTTGTCTCCGTGGGACACCCCATGTTGATTGCTTGTGTTGAAGGGCAGGCTCCGTTCGAGCAGCTCCAAGAGGCGAGAGGTGCGCCCTTAGCAAGTACTAACTAAGCAGCTCATGTTTTGTACATGCAGTACCGGTGGTACCAGTCCACTTCCGTATTTAGCTAAAGAGAGGCTTCAGAGTTGCTGCAAAACTCACGTGTTGCACACAAAAGCAAGTGCGCTTTGTCTCCGGAGCAGTTGCCAAGGATGAAGCTACCAGATCTGGTAGCTAGCTACAGGTGGACCACAGCCTGCGCGTCTCATTTCATAGTGCCCGCGAAACAAGTTTGAAACCTTGAAAAATGAGCGACTCCCCGCAACCAGCAACCCATACGGACCATCATGGCCAGATGCCACCCTTCTTTCGAACAATTTGAATGGTTGCCCCGCCGAATAAGTCATAACACACATGAGTGGAGTTCGACGAACTATGGTCCTACCGGCAGTAGACTTGCTGCGCTGTACCGGGTCGTGCCCTGATTTGGCAACATTATTCATCTACCCTACGGCTCGGGGCCGTCGAGTGGAACGCTTTATCACAAGCAGGCAGCAGGCCAGGAAAGGAGTTGAAGGCTGTGACGTAATCAGCCGACAATTAGCCTCCTGGTTTGATCAAACCGTATTCTCTTGTTGTTGTTGTTTGGCTTGCAGCCGATGGAATGAATTTGCTTGGTGGCCAGCAATTTGTTTAGCTACGGAACTGAACCGGTAGTTCACCCTGCCTCTGGCTGTTTCACATTGGATCACGCCGAGAACGCAACGAATGCTCGAGGCACCCTGTTCCGATTTTGCACGGCAATTAGCTAGCTAGTAGTAGGGCATCACTGCCGAAAAGAACCATGCATGGATGGCGAGGATATGTACTAGCTTGAGCATTCAGCCCACTAGAAATAGCCAGCTAATGCCACCGTCCATCGATCACAGCTGCAGTGATTGGTCGCTCTCTCGCTCCAAGTGGAAAACAAGCATCGGACAAAATCATGCAGGTACACCAGGCTTGGAGGTCCAAGTTGCGAGACTTTGAAATAGGTCGAGACGCCCATGAGAACGAATGGCGCAGAAACCTGCACAGGCAGACAACACGGTCCTCCATCAAGTGCCGATGTCCCCGCGAGGACAGGATAAGGTCCACCAACAACTTCTGTATGAAGCAAACTGCATCGTACCCCAAAGGCCTATCCAAAGAGGTGTGGGTGGCAATTCGTGCAACCCCCCCACACACACACACATCACACAGACAAGTGTATAAATTATTTTGTGCTAGTAAACATTAATGCTTAAGCAGCAACCTTGGCGTCAACGGCAGCAACATGCTTCATCAAGTCAACAACACGGCCAGAGTATCCATATTCGTTGTCGTACCAGGCAACAAGCTTGACAAAGTTGGGGTTCAGCATGATACCGGCATCAGCATCAAAGATGGAGGAGCGAAGGTCTCCTTCGAAGTCAGTGGAAACAAGGGGCTCATCACTGTATCCAAGGAATCCCTTCATGTCTCCCTCAGACTTGCTCTTGACAACAGCACAGATTTCTTCGTAGGTGGTGGACTTGGCGATCTTGCAGGTCAAGTCAACAACAGACACATCAATGGTGGGGACACGGAAAGCCATACCGGTGAGCTTGCCAACAAGGGAAGGAATGACCTTGGTGACAGCCTTGGCAGCTCCAGTGGAGGAGGGGATGATGTTGCCAGAGGCGGCACGTCCTCCACGCCAGTCCTTGCGAGAAGAAGAGTCAACAACAGCCTGGGTGGCAGTCATGGCGTGCACAGTAGTCATGAGGGCTTCCTCAATTTCGAACTCATCGTGGATAGCCTTAACCATGGGTGCAAGACCGTTGGTTGTGCAAGAAGCACAAGAGATGAAGTTCTCACTTCCATCATACATTTCTTGGTTAACTCCCATGACAACAGTCAAAGAATCATCCTTGGCAGGGGCAGAGTAGATGACCTTCTTGGCACCTCCATCAATGATGGACTGGGCGGTATCCTTGGTGAGGAAAACTCCAGTAGATTCACAGACGTAGTCAGCATTGAGGGCACCCCAGCCAACTTCCTTGGGGTCGCGGCATCGGGAAGTCTGGATCTTCTTTCCTCCCAAGATCAAGAAGTCTCCATCAATCTCAACAGTTTGCTTGGCCTTTCCGTGGATTGTGTCATACTTGTATTGGTAGGCCATGTAATCAGTGGTGGCAGATCCAGCATTGATGGCATTGAGCTCACAGGCTTCATCTTCCATCATGATACGGGTGACAAGACGTCCAATACGTCCGAATCCATTGATACCCATGCCAGTGGCAGCCATGGTCATGGAGTCACTGTTGGATGCAGAAGCCTTCAAGGAGGTTCCAGAGAATCTATTTTGAAACAAATCAAAATGGTTTAGCCACAATAATCAGAAATATCGGCAAGGTTTCCAGGACAGTATCATGTACTCACGAGGAGCCAGAGAAGGCAGAGGCGGAGCCAACAAGGGCAACAAAGGCGAAAGCAAACTTCATGGTGATGGTTTCTTGATCAACGTAATGCAAATAGAATTGTGAGATAAAATTGCTTGGAGGAGGTGTTGCGAACCGTGGCGGAAATCTTGCGTACTAGTGTTCCTGTATCCTCCCGATCTTTTTGGGAGTACGTATGATCGTTTGCTCCAGAGACTTTTTGCTGCAATTTTACCCGCAACAGGAGCGGCATTGCGATTGTGTTTTCTTGGGCTGAGTTGACAAATGTAACATACGTCAGCCTTTGATCCATCATGCTCAACAAGTGCACGTACGTGTTCTCTTCGAGTGCGCGCAACGTACAGCAAACATCCTTAACCTTGGGTGCAGCGCACCGGCCTCGCCCTGGGAATGATTCAGGGATGGGGTTTGACTTGGTGCGGAAAGAACCTTCGACTGCACGCGGACGTTTGACAAACTGCGTCTGTGTGACTTTCTTTGAAAGATGATAGTGGCGGCGGCGGACAATGGCGGTGGCAAGTGACAGTCGTTCTACCGGTACATGTAGTTACTGTAGAGTTGGTTATCTGTTGTTTGTGTGGACTACAAAAGGTCTGTCAAATATGTGTCGCGTACACCATGCATGCATCACACTTGATGCCCAAGTTTTAGTGGGTAGAAGAAGCAAAACCCAAAACAAAGATCAGAACATCTGCTGCGTTTGGACTGGTATGATAGTAGCAACGAAGAACACTCATGGGCTGGATATAATAATCAAAACTGTCTAGTTTATGAACCCTATTCCTGCTGCCGATGGCTCTCGCACCATCCGCCGCAGACCATGGAAAACTTCCGAAGACCATGGCAACATCACGGAACACACATTCAGACAGCCTCGGAAATTAGGCGTAAGCAGCCTCACGAGCCTTCTCCCAAATGGCGGCGACTTGTTCTTTTATCTTGTCGACTTCCTCGTTGTTGCCGCGACCTTGATGGTATGGGATTTGTGCTTCCAGCTTGGAGACTTTCTTCAAGTCCTTCCTGTAGACGCAACAATCAACAAATGGATGAGGAAAAGATACAAATGAAAATGAGAACTGTCCTTGACACCTGATCAAAATGAGACATCCTCGACACCGCGAAGGCAACTTACTTGCTAAGGGTGACTTCTACCTCGACGGCCTTCTTACTTTTGCCCATGGTTCAGGTTGGTTTGGTAAAAGGTAGCAAACAAAGAAGAGCTGGAGTGCACTGACAATCCAAGAAGAGCAAGCTAGCTGGTAGTTGTTCTTCTATTCGATTTGTGAGCTTGATGATCGTCGCTCGAAATGGATCAAATTGGAGGAAGTCAAGAAGGTATCTTTTTGAGAATAACATATTTACAGTACTGATTGTACGCAGGGGTATCTTTCTGCGTAGAAGGCTACGTTCGATTTTGTACTGGATCTTGGCGGGCAGATCTTCCAAAAGCGAGAACCGAATTCTCGATCTCTGACAACAAATGCAAATCAGATCAATGCATTTGGGTGTCAGAATAAAGCCCTCGGTCGCTGCGGCATCATCGTTCAACCTATCTTCTCGCCAGAAATCTTATTGGGCAGGTTGGTTGACACCCTTCCCGGTTCGTCACGATCACACAATCACGAGTATCTTCTGGAAAGATATCATCAATTCTTTGAAAACGATGAGCCGTGGCTGCAATGCAATGATATCCTCATCGTCCTTGTAGCCACCCGGCAACCGATGGCAATGTCAGATGCCAGGCACCCGGTGGTCCTGTCAAGAAGGCTTCAGTAGTGTCGATCAAGTAACCTTGCAAAATCTCTCTCTTGATGGGATGGTTCTCTGGCCGAGGAAGCTAACGTGCAAGAAGTTCTTCGTGGGAGTTGACGGTGGGCACCAGTGAAACAATGATGGGGCTCGTCGTCGAGTATCTCGCTCAGCAGTGGGTACAAGATGCAGTCAAGCAGCTCGCTGCCACGGTGGAGCGTCGGAGCATTGGAACCGTTACTTCATGTTTCCTTGGTCCAAAGAAGGGATCCAGAACAATACATGTACCGGAACTACATTAAGTAGGAACAATGGAGCGTGTTCGAAGTTCAGTATCGCACTTGCCA